GGATGCTTATTATTTCAAATAATGTTCCTATAAGGTTTAAGGTTAACTAAGACATAACGACACGTTTTAACTGCAACATTCAGAGGATGTTTTGAGGATGTTATTGAGGCCTGAGATGACAGAACGTTTTTTATAAAACGTTCTTTTAATGTGAAATGTTAACGAAGGTGGAACGTTTTGCCTGCAACATTATAAGGATGTTTTTCGGACGTTGTTGTATTAAAATATTATATATGTTATTTTATAAAACATTCCCTCAATGTTACATGATAACAAAAGAAGAACATTTTCAAAGCAACATTCGGATAATGTTTTCAGGAGGTTATTCTTTTTTTATAAAACGTTCCTGTGATGCGAAATATTAACACGGTCATGGTCAACGTCAGATTTATTTGTAGAGCGCTATAAAAAACAAACTTGTTGCATTTGTTTGAAAAGGATGTTTAAAAAAATCTGATGTCACCACATTTTCCTTTTGAAAAAAACAAACAAGCACGTAATTCATGATAAACTGTAAACAGATATTGCATGTTTGCGGTGGCATGTGTGAGTTCCCAGCTAGACATTTTTGGTTCTAAAACATTCTGAGAATATTACCATTCATTGTTCTAGGAATGTTTTCAGCGGGAAGTTTTAGGGTGCGTTCACACCTGCCTTGTATAGTCCGGTTGAATCTAACCCTGGTGCGTTTAGCCGCTTGGTGCGGTTCATTTGGGTCGGTGTGAACACAATCCGAGACCTCTGAAGTGAACTAAACAACCGGACTCTGGTCCGCTAAAATAGGTGGTCTCGGAGCAATTGCTTGCGAACTCTGGAGCGGTTCATTGCTGGTGTGAACGCAGTCCGCACCAAAACATAGGAAGCGTAGTATTTATGTGTCACAAGAACGCGGGTGTCTTCAAAATCTTTAGCGAAAGAGTCTTTCAAGACATCCGCGGTTGTTTAGTTAAAGAGTGAAGCAGGATGAAGAGTTGAACAGTGTCGTGTAAAGTAAAAATTCTCCGTCAGCTACATAAAAGTAAGAACACCTGTCGTCGGTGAAACGCCCCTCCTTACTGCAGAACGTCTCTCATTATGTGTTAATGTTTTTTAACGGACGTTGTCTGATTATATAATCATATGCGCGGGCCGCTAGTGTCTGTTGATCTCCAGATTAACAGCAGCATGAGAATAACCTGCCGAAAGTGCCGATGCTCCATGGCGGAGGCTCCGGTAGAAATTGCCGGGATTTGCATTTTTACCCCCTTAATGTCTGACCAATGGTTGAACAGCATTTCCGTGCACATGACTTGTGTTTAAAGTTTATAGTCCGTTTGAGTTTGGCCCGTGTGAACGCAAACCGAAAAATGAAACAATGTAACAAACTGTGGTCTGGTGCGCATCAGAAAACTGACTATTAGATGTGAATGCACCTTTAGTTTGGTTCCCAGAATGTTCTTCTGAAAGGTAGGATAACGTTCTTTAAAAACATTCTTGAAATGTTTGGTGATACATTTCTTAAGATGTGTGAGCGCATTGAGACAATTAATAGGATGTACAAAAATGAATTTGCATGCCAATATTCACTCACATGCACTTATAATCACACTAAAGGTATGTAGGCCCACAGTATTCATAATATCATATGTGTAAAATATCAGAAAATAATCACACTTTTTTCTGACTATAAAGGTTATGTCTCGTATGTACAGTGGCGGTTCTAGAACATTTTACATGGGGTGGCAAAGGGGGGGCAAGAGGTCATGTCAGGGTGGCATGGGAGGGCGTACAGTATGTGGTATTTTATACTGTATATAACCTTTTTATTGTTAAATCATGCCCTAAGTGTTCAGACAAACAAACTCAAATATAGTATAACACAGCAGAAAATACACATGAATTCTGCTTACTGTAAGTACAGTAAAAGTACATCACCCATCTCTTTGTTTGTTTGTTTAGAGAGCTAAAGGTGACCTGTGCAGCAACACATTTCAATACATATTTGTTAATACTAAGAGCCGCTAGATTGTGCTGCATTATAAAGTTGTGTATATTTACAGACTGTTGCAAAAACTAAGAAGCTTATAAACATCAGGTTTCAAACTAAAAGAGCCTTACAAAAAAGTAACACAATTAAAGATGTTTTGAGTTTTATTTGAGTTATTAATTTACATTTGTTGTCCAAGAGATGCTGATTTGAAACCGTTGTTACATACAGTTACAGCATTTCCTGTTTCTGCCGGAGAGGGGAGGCCGTCCCAAAGCTTGCTGCTGTATTTATACCCTTAACCCTTAATGGAGGGAACTTCATTCAGCTGCGAGTGTGGCTACAGACGGAGTTTACTCCGTCACGGAGGGGTAGGGTCGAGGGGGTGATTTGGGATTGGGCCGTAGTTTGTCATCAGTGACGTCACTGGCCCAAAACGATACAAGCCTCGATCAAAATTTCACAAAAAGCTTCGGGGATTACTCGACACACGCTCCGAAGCCTCGGCGCAATACGTAACATCACTGTTTCCCACTGCTGCCATAACCAACCTCCACTCCAGGGGCGGATCTACCGGGGTGGCATGGGATGACAACTGCCACCCTAAACAATAGCCTTGCCACCCCAGCTGCCACCCCAGTTGGCATCTTTGTTTTGAAAGAAAAGTTGTGGCTCATCGGACATTTATGAGAGAAAGTCTCTAATGTCCGAGTGCAAGTGAATGCAGCACAAGATGCACGTCATGTAACTCCTCCCCCGGTCCTGGCGCAAGAGTGGAAATATAATTGGTGGCGAATTCACTTGAACGTGGGGACGGCGCAAAACGAGAAGCCTTTCGGACCCAAGCACTGAAGGAATGAGGTAGTTGCGGTCTACAATGACAGAGAAGAGACTGTCAGTTTGGCTGTACTCAGCATTGAATCAAAACGCACTACAGCTGTTGATCTTAATAAATTTGTGAGGCGTTTTGCTGAACAAACTAGTAATCGCCGCATTCAGCTGTAATAGACATGCCAACTTGATGCTCTGCTCACGGATGACTCGATGAGAATAACAAACTGTTAAGATGATGACCTTGTATGCGTGTATATATTTTTTTTCTTTGAGGAGGTCTGCCCCCAAAAAACAGTTTTAAGTCCTGAGAAAGTAAAATAAGACGGTGTGTAAAACTACACTGCCCAGCCAACAGAAAGTAACCACTTTGATTTAACTAGGCCAGTAGGTAAGGACCTTCCACTGGATAATAACTGCAGCGATGTTTTAGCTGAATACACGTTTAACCCTAACTGATGCAGTTAGTCACTTCTTTAATGTTTGTTCTTTCTGATGTAAAGTCAAGGTTGTAACTGTATATCAATAATGATATAATTACTTGTTTTTCAAATTTGAAGGAGGGTGAGCAAGCATCTTGATGAACATTCATCATTAACTCCTCCAAAAAATATAGTTTATTCAATAATAAATGAATATGTGAATCATAACAGTTCTTCACTATATCTGTAAAGCGTCTTTGAGCATCTGTAAAAACGCTAACAAATTAAATCTATTATTATTATTATTATTTATTAACAGTGATTGACAGCTGATAGGAATAATATGATTGTTAATAGTATCATATTCATTCAGACAAACATCGATGAGACAGTTCATTAATGTACTTATTGCAGCAGTCTGCATAGATTTGGTACCCCTGCTGGTCTAAGAGTGAGACAAACTCATTCAGTTATTGTTCAGTTAAAATTCATTAAATTACGTCTGCCACCTTATATGTAAGGCTTTACTGATGTGCCACAATAATATCACCTATGTGATTGAGTTAAAATATTAATATTGTGGCTTTCCAAGTTAACATTGATTGTAGGGGTGTAACGGTTCACAAACATTTCGGTTCGGTACGTACCTCGGTTTTTAGGTCACGGTTCGGTTCGGTACGTTTTCGGTACAGCAGAAAACATTATCACAAAACATTAAAATACATGTTTTTATTATTATTAAACTGTGACTAATGTATTCAAATAAATACAAAATATAGTAAAATAAACATTAAGGTGCAGCATTTCGATGAGCTGAAATAATCTGTATTTGAACTGTACTAGCACCTAAGCAGCCAGCTTGACATTAGGACTTGCTTGTCATTGTATTTTCATGTTGTTTAAAGAAAGATGAACTTGTCCACATTGCTTGCTGAAAGGGCAGATCTGCTGGCACTAACAATGTCTCCTGCTGTGGAGAACACCCTCTCTAGGGACAGAGGTAGCACAGCCAGGTAGCGCTTTGCTAACATGGCAACATAAGGATATTTGGCATTTGTAATAGCTTTGGCTCGGTCTGAACTCTTTGCGAGTGGTGGAGGCTTACATGCTAGCGGGAGTTGGGTTTGCACTTCAGTCTTTTTTCTTTTGGTACCGTACCGGTGATATTCACATTCGGGTGATGCCTTTTCAAATGATTGTGATGTATTGCCAGCCGCGTAACCAATGTTAGTTGAACAATGCCGACAAACAGCTTTGGTTCGGTCCACCTGTCTTTGTCCGTCATCCTTGTACGTAACTGCAAAACCAAAATGTTTCCAAACCGGAGATTTCAATGATGCTAGAGGATTTTCAGCTCAACTTTATCTGCGTTCGCCATTTCGACAGTTCCTCAAATTACTGACTACATTTGAAAGCATCCCTGTGACCAGCTCTCATAGTATGCCTCTCGTCCAATGAAATGACTTGGTCGCTCTATGATATAGATTACTTCCAGAAAGTTGTTCATGTTCTCGATTTTTTACGTTTAACGCTATATTCGTTCGGTACACACGTGTACCGAACCGAAGGGCCCGTACCGAATAATTTCAGTACGGGTACGTGTACCGTTACACTCCTAATTGATTGATATGATTGCGATTTAAATCAGCATATACTTCTGTCAGGGGATGTCACCCCTCAAAATCTCCTGCCACCCTCTTGCCACCCCATGAATATTTGTCTAGATCCGCCCCTGCTCCACTCCCAGCTCCCCTTTTCTAATAAACAAATGTTACGCTCACCAGCTGTTTCCGAGTCATCCTTTTACATGTGTTAATAGTCAAATTCCAAGTAAACGGACCACATTTGGAAAAAATGTCCTCTCCGTTAAAGACAGCTCTTTCTGGAATAGCCTCCCAACTGAGATACGGGATCGTCCCACTCTCAATAGCTTCAAAGGTTAACTCAAAGAATGGTTGAGAAACAAACAGATGTGCAATCACCGCTAAATTCACTTTAATACAGGGGTATCTCCTCCTGCACTTTATGTAGCTCTTGTATCTTCTCTTGCACTTTATATGTCGTAGCTGCTATATTGTATTACCATGTGATAAATACTTGTATATGCTGCTCTTGCTCTTTTGCACTTTTTGCATATCATGTATTTTGTTTTTGCTATGTTTGTCAAATGTAAATTTCTTAAATGTTTTATGTGAGGGACTGCGAATGGAAATTATCTCAAAGCTAAATCTGGCACTGTTACGCTTGACACATTTTAAAGTTTTAAGTGTTCATTACTGTAAATAAACGATTAAATAAAAAGAGGAATGACTTAAAAAGCTTAAATTCAGGTGACAGAGCTAACGCTTTTAATCTTACACCAACAGTAAACTTATAGGCATACCATTTTACTTTGATAGTTCGGTAACACTTTACGGTAAGGGTACATGAATCATCATGAATTCATGCATGACTTAATGCATGAAAAAGCATGAATTAATTCATGTAGTACTTCATGAACTATCAGTAATGTACAGGTATTAATGGTATCTCATGCATGACTTAATGCAGGAACAATACCTTAAATTAATGCATCAACTAAGGTATCTCAATCATCATGACTTCTGAGTTATTAATGATGTTCATGTCTTCTTCATATATATCTGCAATTAAAGTGTCAGGCCAAAAAGCTGACCAGTCACAGCAATTCCAAGTGTTGTAATCATGATTAACTAAGCATGACTTTGTCATTACTTCATCGTGATTGTGCCCCTTCAAATAAAGTGGTGACCCGGTCGGTCGGTCATAGTGCATGTATGCTGTTGAATTCAAAGTGTTGACCCCAACCCTGTTCAGTGTGTTGACCATTAATCATATGTTAGTTATCAGTGTAAACGATGGAACAGGTCACCACTGTATTTGAAGGGGCACAAACATGATGAAGTAATGACAAAGTCATGCTTAGTTAATCATGATTACAACACTTTGAATTCAACAGAATGCATGCACTGCTATGACCGACCGACCGACCGGGTCACCACTTTATTTGAAGGGGCACAATCATGATGAAGTAATGACAAAGTCATGCTTAGTTAATCCTGATTACAACACTTGGAATTGCTGTGACTGTTCAGCTTTTTGGCCTGACACTTTAATTGCAGATATATATGAAGAAGACATGAACATCATTAATAACTCAGAAGTCATGATGATTGAGATACCTTAGTTGATGCATTAATTAAGGTATTGTTCCTGCATTAAGTCATGCATGAGATACCATTAATACCTGTACATTACTGATAGTTCATGAGTACTACATGAATGAATTCATGCTTTTTCATGCATTAAGTCATGCATGAATTCATGATGATTCATGTACCCTTACCGTAAAGTGTTACGGAAAGTTCACCATTGGTGAAATATAGAAACTTACCATGAGTGAAATACAGTATGAAATGTAAATGTCATTAGATATCTGTGACAACAGACTATGGAGAGGCGAAGTCACGCCCATCTACTTCCGGACCATGGGACCCCGGAAGTGAAAAATGTACATTGAATTCAATGGAGAGAGAACACATATCTTTTGATCCCGTTTGAATTGTGCCACGAACTACACATATGATGTTTGTCAGTCTTAAACAATCATTTCCATGTCAAAAAAGTCACATTTTGTCGTAAAACTGCTCAAATATAAGACTATGAAAAATACGCTACTACAAAGACTACAAATCCCAAATCCCATTCTGGGTCGCGTAAGTGATGTCACAGGCATGCTCGGTGATTTATAATAAGACTCGTAATTAAAGCGAAGAAGAAGAAGATCTCATAACTGATTTATTCCCTCCAATAAATTATAGATCGCTAAAAATAAATTAACTTTTACAAGATGCCTGTGTGCTTTGTACCAGGTTGTAGTCATAAAAGTGATCATACCACTTGCTCCTTCTATCGATTCCCATCTGATGAAAGGACCAGGAGTCGCTGGATCAGACATATCAGGTAATATCATAATATACATGTTGTGCATGGAACATAGTCAAGTTAGCTACCTAGCTAGTAGCGACGAGTAGCGAGCACGTTAGTTAGCATTACATTACTTAGCCTTGTCATTTTTAGTAGCCTTACCATGAAGTTATTATTTGATTACATGAAGTAAACCAAAATGTTAAACAGTAACCAAACATGATGGTAAGTATTTCGTGAAACATTTGAAGAGTAGCCTACTGCGCCCTCCACCGGGTGCTAAGGAAGCAGTTCAGGGAGAGTCGAAGGCAGGCATGGAGCTTTGCATGACATTCTTCTGGACGTGTTTCATTGTGATGACAATCTGTTTGTTGGAAAGACAGTCGTTGTGTGCTTATTGAGAGAAAATTGTTAGAAGAGATAATTATTCAAAGTGTTGTTACTTTAAAGTGTTGTTACTGACCTTTTTCTCTTTTATTTTCTTTACCTCACCTGTAACTGCTGAGACGTTGAGGAACATGCACACTGACCTGCTCTGGCAACCTGATTTCCACTGTACGTAATAGTATTTGGTTATGGTATATTATTTATATACATCAAAGGCACAATGCACCCCCCAGAGACACACATGTATTGAGTGTGATATTTTGCATAGGTCATGTGAAATCATCTTTACATACTAGAAAACTGTAGGAGCGGCAACTTGTTTTGAAATTGAATTTTTAATATCCGATAATAAAGTTGATGTTTTCTTTATTCTTCTCTCTTCCCAGCTCCATCCATCACCATTCTCTGTTCCTGCAGGTCCTGCTTGCTAATCAATGCTCATATTTTTTTACACAATTACAAATAAAGTCATTGTATTGTATGACATGAAGTTGTGCTTCATTCGGAGTCAATAATAAATTAATTCTGCCTTCAACTGCGCAATGATTGTGGACTGCACCGACATCCATGTAGCTGCCCCCCAGTAAGATGAACCAAGCAAAGAGGGTCACCATCATGCCCAAGGACATCCAGCTGGCCCGCCGCATCCGCGGAGAGAGGGCTTAGACTGACCTGAGACCAGCACACCCAAACACAACGGCTCTTTTAAGAGCCACCTACATTTTCAAAGAGTTGCAATCCTACGTTATTATAATGATTAAACTGGTTCATGTATCACTTAGTTTACTGAACCGTGATGAATGAAAGTGAAATGAGTGAGGTAGTGGTTTACTGAAGTTACAAAGACATTAATATATGAGTAACAGTAAACACAAGCTTCTGTCAATTATGGATCATTCAAACTATTAATATAAAAATATGTAATAAAGTTCTAAAACAAGTATTCGGTATATTCCTTGATAGCTTTTGGAGAAGGTTGTTTTTAAGTTTACTAAAATCTATCGTTTCAACTGTTTCACTTTATAAAAAAGGAACAGGTGAGTAGAGCATCATTGAGTTTCTTATTCGGTCAGTAAATTATCCAAATGAATGTTTTTCATTATTTTAGTCAACCCTAAACAAATTGATTGTACCTTTTAATAATGACCTTACATGGTCAGCAAAGTTAAATTAACTTCAGAAAATCAAATCTGTTCTGAGAAAAAACTAATAAATGTTTAAAGATAGGAACTTGCCATCCCACTGAAAAACAGTCCGTAGAGATTTAAAGGCGTAGTTGTAGTTCAGTCCAACGTTTCATTTGGATTCATTTGACAACAGTCAACTATTTTCATAAAGAATATATATATTTTTCAAAGTCAACTTTATTGTCAATCTTACTCAGTTTGAGAGATCAAAAAGACGTTTAAATAAAATTATACAATTTACAGATATGTATACAAATATATATATCCTATATACACCATCATAATGATGGTGTATGATGTAGAAGGAAGTGTGGTAGATAACAAGTAAATATAGAGTTACATACAGATCCATGTTACAGCAAAAGATGGAATAACTCAGAAGCACGCAGAATAATAATAATTACATGCAACAATTAAATAACTGCTCAGCATCTCCACCACAATCCCAATCTGCTGTGTCCTGTTTTCCTCCCCTCTGCATAACACCCCATCACACATACGAAACACAACGCAGAGTCCGAGGGTGTTAAGAGTATGTTTATTGAAATGTGCTCCTCTCTACTGGCCAACACAAGGAGCATATGCTGGGTGTAGAATTGTTCCAGGAGGAGGAGATTTCCATGCCATGCAGGGTCTTTGGGGATGGGGATGATGATCGCCTCCTTCGTGGTCCACACAACAAAGTAGCAGAGACTCCGGTCTGTGATATGCAGCTGCCCTTGGACCTGGTGCCAGTATGGGTGATTCTCCTTGAGAATATATGACCCACCCTCCTCACGGAGACAGAAGGATGGTAACTGGACTGCCTCCGCGATGGTCATGTTCCTCTGGCTGTGTGGACACTTCACCTCCAGCAGGGCAGATGGCTGCACAAGTCCATCGGGTGATGCTCCCAAAACACCCGACTCACTCACAAAGAGACCAGACTCGATTCTAACACTGTCACTTGATAGGCCTCCACAAAAGCCTTCACCCCTTCGGCCTCGTTTACAACCCCCCAGTTGACAGTTGGCGATGTCTCTGGCCAGTGGGTTGTATGTCTCCTCTCACTGTTGGTAAAGTTGAGACACCGGCTGGACTACTTTGGAAGTGCCAGGCTTCCTCCACTGGCACTCAACATCTGTGGAGCTGATCTGCCACATGGCAAATATTGCCAATGCTGCAGCGTGGCTGCATTTGTACATCTCCTGTGCACAATCACAGACAGCGCTCTGCATCGAGCCATCGTCTCCCATGCAGATCTGTAAAAATAAAGTAAGTACCATTTGTTAGCATGCTATAATAGATTGAATGAGCAATAATACAAGGATGGTCCGGATCTGAGGGTGGGAGGGTTTATTTTTCCATAGTTTTGTCCTCTTGTCTGTTGTTATT